CTATTCTTTTGAGGTTAAACAAATGTTCGTACTTAATTTCAATAAATTACAAGTTAAAAAGGGCATGGACATTTCTCTTTTTGTATTGAAAAAATATCAAACCGTGAGACTAAAATATTGAACCGAACCGAATTGTGAATTTTCTGTATCGTTGCAGCCCTAGTGTTCAAATTTTAAATTAAAATTCTAAACCAGACAGGCTTTCTGTGTTGGAAATTATGATCTGCAACAGCAAACCAAAACGGGCCATGGAAAATCTGCTACTTTTGTTTATAGAAACCTGCTGTGTACACTACACTTCCACAGCAGACCATTGAATCCTCAGGAGATTACATCCATCATCCCAATTGGTTTTATGTTCCCCCTTATTGCAGGGTGAAATTTGATTAGTCAGAAGATGGCACTGAGRAGAATCTGGTCTAGCAGATGGAGTTTAGGGGCAAAAAGATTGGGGGGGAAGGCAAGAGGACATAAAATAATTTACAGTACATAAGCCCTAATCTSTGCCTCTTCTTGTCCTCTCTCTGCACCAGGTGGAGCGAACAACAGCTCGGACACAGAGAGCTTGCCCTCTCCACACTCCTCTGAGGACAGCAAGGCTAAAGACGAAGGCTCGAGCCGGCCGAAGGGCAACTCCAACGCAGCGGACAAGGAGGAGGCCCAGCCAGACATGGGCCAGGCAGAGGATGAGAAGCCTCCTGTCAAAGAGGAGGCAGCAGAGTCAGCCATTAAAGAGGAGATAAAAACTGAGACAGGGGAGCCCAACAAAGAGCAGCCGCAGCCAGTTTCACCCAACAATACCACAGATAAGAGACTGCCAGCAGCAGAAAAGGCAGAAGTCAAAAGCAGCACCAAGAGTTCCAAGAAAGATCACTCAACCAAAACGGGTTTGCATGGGGACAGCGACTCTAGTGCCACTTGCAGCGCTGACGAAGTGGAGGAGACAGACACTGTAGACAAGAACAGGTCAGTACTCTTAGGTGTAGCTTCTTTTACATATTATTTTTTAAACTAATATTATTATCTCTTTACATTTAAAAGAAGTGACATCCAACTAATTTTTTACTTTGCTGATTATTTGTATYAAAGGGCTGTTTCTTTTTTATTTATTTATTCGTCTGGGTGTCCTACTTCACTGGTCTACCACAGCAAACATGACAAAACAAAGCACAGAGGGTTTTGAAGTGGTATTAGTTGCCTAGCTACACTGTACGTCCGCAAAACCATATTTGTCAAGCCACGTGTGTGTGTGTGTGTGTGTGTGTGTGTGTGTGTGTGTGTGTGTGTGCGCGCACCTACTACAGGTTGTTCTTTCCTATCAAACAGGGATTTTATTTGCACTTTGCATGAATGAAACATATATTTACCATTAGTATATGTTGTGTGTGTCTGTGAATGAGGCCAGAACAAATGGGTGTCAAAGTGCGTGGGAGGAGTGATTAGTCCTGTTAGCACAGTGTTTGTTCAATTTTTTTTCCATGACAGCAGACTGCATGTACTGGCAGAGCTGAGGGAAATGTTGCCCTCTGTGCCAAATCAAACAAATGGAGGGAGGAGTGTATGTGTGTGYGCGTGCGTGTGTGTGTGTTACTAAATAATGTTGTGCTGTGTGCATGAAAGCGTGCCTTTTTGATTCTGTGTATGTTGTGTTTCAGCAAATTTAAGGCAGTGTTTTTTTTTTTTACTTTATACACACACAAATACATTTTTCATTCCAAAATCTGAATAATAGCTTACTTACAACATGTCTACATTGAACCAGCTTTAAAATAATTAGTCTAGTATGTATCAACAAAGCTTGAATTGAGATAAATCTGAAATTTAATTGACTTTAATTGCATTTAATTGTAGTCGTGTTGAATTATTTAGTTGGTCACACAGAGGGTGGGATTTGTGTTTYATTTATGCAACGCAGTAAGAGTCATGCATAGTAGCTATATGTTTTATAGTAAATGGTAAAGTTGGCGGTGCTGGTCCGTTTAAATAGCTTACATTGTAACAGGTTACTGTAGCTGTAGTGGTAGTCACATCATCCACGTAGCAGTTAATTTAAGAAAACACACTTAAGATAATTCCAGGTAATGATGGGAAAGAAGAAAAGCTCATAACACCGGGCTACTTCAGAACAGTTTCCATTTTATAAAATTATTTCTGAAGAAAGGCACCTGGTATCAGCGCTTTAATTTATCCCACTTCGTGCACTTAAGGATRGGAACAGTCATCATGTGGGCTTTTATCACAATCTGCACTTTTCTTGCTACTTTCACCACTTTACTTTTACAATGGATTGTTACACTGAGTTTCAGATAGTCAAAGCAAACACTAGGCAATTTGTGGACCTTTTTAAATGATGAAGTATGTCATCTGTTTGTAAACACAGTAAACAGGAAATGTTGGCCCATCCATCAGTCTCCTCTTCACCACTACTATGTTTGCGTTTGCAGAATTTCTTCTCCACGGCCCAGCTTGCTGAACTACACTCATGACGGGGTCATTTCATCCCCACTACAGAAGCCCATGGATCTCAAACAGCTCAAACAGAGGGCTGCCACTATACCACCTATTGTAAGTTATTCTGTTGGCTCTCATTGGATTAATAATTTTTTTTACTGTATACATAAATAAATRCTTGAAAAGAACCACTCTCAACCTTTTATATGTTTGGGAATTATCACTCATTGTTATGACACAGCTCTGTTGAATCAGGGTTCCCAGCGACTCTGAAAACCAAGGAAAAACCTGGAAAATGACTTTCACTTTTTCTAGACAGAGAATAAAACAAAAAAAGGGAAAACTCAGGATATTTTAGCACTTATACGCTGATTAAGATATTTGTTTCTGAGATTTAGGTGTGTAAATATATTCTAGTATTCTCATTCATGTACTGCTTCCACCAAGTACATAGTACATACATCCTTACTGATTGCCTAAGGTGGCTTTTTAGTAACTGAAGTTTTGCAATATAAATATTTATTAGGATTGATTGTCTTTTGATTGTACTATAGACTACTCTATACTTGCTGTCATCTCTGAATGTGACTGATTTCTGGAAACTAAAAAGCCTGAAATACATCATGGACTGCTGGGAACCCTGTTAATGAATGCACACCTTACTCACTTTTTGTTGACAGTGGTTATCTATACTGTCCACATCTCTGTGTTGACAGAGACAACGGTGCAGCAGGTGAAATTGTGAAATCATACATGTCTAAGCCAACCAGATGGACGATGATAAACGGAAGACGAAATAAGAAGCCGGGGATTAGTGAAATGTTAGCTAAACAAGAAATAAGAGCTGCATCTTTCCTATCATGTTGATCAGATACTGTGTGTGGCTAACCATATGTCGATGCCTGACAGGAGCAGGTTTCTGTTATGTCTGTTGCATGTATGTAACCCTGATATTTCTGTCTTCTTTCTGTGCAAAGACACCAGAGGCCTCGGCGCAGGGCAGTCAGCGGAGTGGGAAGGCTCTGCAGCCCCACCACGCCCTGGCTCTGTACCAAGAACAGATCAGTGTGGCTCATGGGGAGTCCTCTCAGGAAGTCAAACAACTGCAGCAGCTTTCAGGCCAGCCAGGCAAACAGCAGCCTTACACCCCTCAGGCAGACAGAGACCGAGAGGCTCTTATCAGCACCAGCCCTCGCATTCGCTCTCGTAGCCCCTCCACCAGCGAAAAAGATGGTATGCTTCGATTGCCTCATAGGCTCATTTAGTTGGTACAGTTATCCCTGAGATCCCTAGTACGTCTGCATGACCTGATACATTGGGTCTTTTTTTAAAAAAGGATTGTTTAATACCAAATAAGATTTAAAAAAGCCTGCAGCTTTAGRTGCATTTGATCTAGTTTTACTTAGTAAGTCTTTTCTACAAGCTCTGACCTTGAGTCTCTTCTCTGGTGTTTAGGGTTTTTAAGTGTTTCTAGGACACTTGCTGCGAGGAAGCTGATAAATGTCCTGGTATTGCTGTTGACCCAGAAGGGAATATAAAGTCTAGTTCAGTGGACTTACTGTAAGCTTGTGGAATGTGAATCTCTTGAGAGCACAATGTGAGACTTTTCAGCAGTCCAGACAAAGAGAGGTGTTTTCTTACCAACTGGGAGCAGAACCTTATTAAACTCTTATTTTAGTCATTTCAGGGAAAATAAAAATACTGAAAAAAGCTATTAATTCTTCACAAAGTAGCTGCTTTAGATATATACTAAAGCTACAGTTCATTAACATGTGATTGCAGGTGAGGTGTTTATGTAACTCATATTTTAGTAAAAAGAAAAGTTCATTTTCCACTGGATTTGCCAGGTAAAGATGTAGCCATTGTTCYGCCTGAAGAGATTGAGTAGGTTCACTTATTACTTCTTATGGTGACCCTTTAGGCACAAAAGTGTCATTACAATCCCTTCCAGTCTTTACTAATGCAGTTTAAATGAAATGTTAGCAGTGGGTTTTGTATCGGTTGGTCTGCTAATTTAGAGGTGAAACACTTTGTGTCTCCATCAGTGACGTAGACAACAGTGAATTTGTTAAATAAAACGTTCATCTACAAAATGAAATTGTAGTCTGGAAGTTACACTTATATAAATAATCAGATGAAGTATAGTTTGTTGTTATTTATGGTCCTGACTTCCTCCGTGTCTTGATGTTGCAGAAAAATCTCAAGCTTTCTCTCCACACGGTGAAGCCAAGAAGCAGGCACTGGGTCCTGATGACCCTCGCACCTCAAACTGGGCTCGTCCAACTCTCTCTCCGTACCCCGTGTCCTCTCGAGACATGGCCAAGATGAGTCACGATCAGCACCCGCTCCACAGTGAGAAATCTTTTCTGTATTTCTGTCTTTCTAATCTTCCCGCAGTTCATCATCAAAACAAAACTATTTTTTGACATTAAGTGCTTCTTAAACCATTATTATTTAGTTTTATTTAACTCTCCTAAACACAATGTGTTTTTTTTTTCTTCTAGCGTTTCAGCACAGCCACGGCATACTCGCTGGTCTGCCACCAGATAGTGTGAGGCTACCTGCAGTGAGACCCCTGACGATGCCAGAACCTCCGCCTCTTATTTCCTCATCCAAGCCAGGAGGCTCCATCACACAGGTATATCACTAACACATAAAATAATCATTTAAAGTTGTCATAAGTTAGTATTAGTGGCACACTTGAATACTGTATTTAAAATGTTAAAACACCAAGTAAAAAGAACTGAATTTAACAAGTTAATAACTAGTATTGTACTATCATTTTTTAATTCAATGGTTGTTTGTTTTGTTAATTTTTTTATTAGGGCACTCCTGTACAGTTACACAGTCCAGCTCATGGTATGGACCATTCAAAGATACCTCCAGCACCGATGGGGATGTCTTGGATAGAGAAGAAAGTTGGTAAGTAAAATTGGCTGGGGGAGTATCAGTACACAGTTCAGATTGTTTTTCTTCATTATCTGAAACTGGAATCATGTCACTATAGACTTGTCCATCTAATGATTGTCTCTGTGCCGTGTGTGTGTGCCTTTTTTGTTTGTTTGTTTTCCATCCTGTAATGTGTCAAACAGCAGGTAATTCACCTGTGGTGAAGCGTGAGCAGCTGTCCCCTCACAGTTCCTCCTCCCTGGCAGATAACCTGTCATCCCAGGGGCCACCTCATGATACTTCAGGACGTGGTGGGCKCTTCAGCTTTTCCCCTCATTGTTTCAGTTTCATAAACAGATCCGTGTTATCTGAGCTCTGTTTTTATCTTAAGAGTAAAGAGTAAAACCAAGATATTCTGGCAAATAATCATGTTTTTGTCATAAMTATAGATGTTGAGTATCATTAAACTGAGTCTTTTTATTTTTGAATGCACTTTGAAAATATTTACTTTCTTGTTTAGTAACTTGGTAGTTTCTCAGTAACCCAGACTAGATCTAGAACTCAGCTTAAAACAGTYGTGTCTTTAGTTCTCTGAAGCCCATCTAATCTAACAGCATCAGAGGATGTGAAAATTAAACAAATCGYCCAGTTATATTTATGAGGCGGGTCGACAGACACTGGAGCTTTTTAAAAACTGTGATAATCTCCGGTGGTGCTTCTGCAGGATTTATTTATGTATCTTTTGACTCTTCATTTTGTTCCTTTTTGAGACAGTTTCTTACGTGTAAATTTTCTTCCTTCTAGCTGTCCAAGGAGGAAGTATCACTAAGGGCTTACCAGGGACCAGAATCACTGCAGATTCTGCAATTTCCTACCGAGGSGGCTCCATTACACAGGTAAGTTCAACCAGCACTCTTTTGTTTTCCCCAGACTTTTTCTTTTCGTTCTTAAATTGAACCATCTGTCTTTTCTTTTCTGACAGTTTCTATTCAGGATTTAGGAATAGTCTKATTTGTTTGTAGTTTTTTTCTTAACCAGTTTTTGTGAAGATTTCCAGTGAATTGTACACATGCTTTTATTCCCACTCGACCTATGTGAGGTTAATTTAAAAATTCCATGCTTAAGAAACAAAAAAACTTTAAATCCAAATGCCTTATAACCCTAAAAGTTAAAATGATTTTAGCCTTGCTGTACTTTAGTTGTTCCTTTATTGATCTAGAATATCTACAGAATACTACTGCTGCTTTTGATGAGGCAAACCTTGTGCATAAGGGCTACAAATATTCTGCTGACAATGTGCAAGTTTGAGTAGTGTGTTACAACACAGTAGTTATCTTCCTTTTTCATTATGAAAACCTCTCAGTGTCACTTAATTTATGCAAATAGACAACAACAACAATCATATCTGTAAGTTTAGAACAGCACTCATTCTAGTTTAATTATATTTTGTTTTTTRTGTTTACTCACGTTACACTTCTGGGTGTGAATCCTACGGTTAACATGATTTACCCAAGGTTGATTACCCAACAACTGAGGCTGAACTGAAACCAACCCTGTAAACTGTGTTAAGGTTCATGCTATCACACAGACAGACTACAAACTCCTCCGCGTTTACTGATGGTTTACTCTAGTTTTCCAAAAATTGATGCAATCGTTGGCCCCTGAGCACTCAACACAGAGCACTCAATGTAACAGCTTATTTGCAAATGAGTTTTGCACCTATGATGAAAGAGCGTAGCAGAGCTTTTGAGAGGTCATGAGGCAAATGAAGTGCTGTGGCTGCTGGATTTCCGTGGCTGTGTGACATAACCACGGCTCTGAATGGCACTGTTGCCCTAGCAACAGGTACACACTGTACCGCATCTGTTCCCTCTTTTATTTATCTGTGTACTTTAGATGCTGGCTAAACACAGCCACTGATATGCCCACTCTAATTTCACATCCAACTGGCATAGAAGCAAAAACATAAACTGAGTAGGCCATCGTCCCACCTTCAACAGGAGTAAAAGGACAGAGAAGTGAATGTTATGGTGTAATCTGTTATTGTTTGATCACTCAGAGATGGCAGCGTTACAGAGTTCAGATGATGTAAACAGACCTTTCCCATCTCCTTTAGGTAAACACTTCTTGGAAAAGCTGCAACCAACAGAAGTGTCCTCTTAGCCACACTTAGTCTCCTCCTAACCAATGGCTGTAGAGATATACACAGAGTAAAGTGATGTGACTCAGGTTTTAAAAGAAAGCTGCTTTGTTTCCTGCTGCTTGCAAATTAAGCCTATTTTGCTTAAATTTTGCAAGTAGTTCAGCAGTTTTGTCAGTTTTTAAATATTGTTTTCTTAATTTATTTGTTCTTCGTTATATAGTAGTGTTGAGTACTTGAGATAGGTCTTGGTCTTAAGACCAGTCTCAAGACCACTTTTTGATGGTCTTGTCTCAGCCATTGAGGACTCTGGATTTTATTTCAAGACCACAGCTTTGGAAATATCACTAAATAACGAGAATGTTGTTGAATTTATTTGTTAACGTTCTTGTTTCATTCGATGTAAAACATACTGATTCAAATCCAAACCTGAGTCATGTATTTTTGTTTTGTTAGCCATGTCACCCATCCTCACCCCTGTTCACTCGCACACGACACTCCAAAAAAAGTGAGCAGTAGTTCTCAGGGAGCGAGATACGATGTCTGCAAAATCTTCAATAATACAGTTCGGCTACTAATATCATAAAGAATATATYTGTAAAACAATATCCAGAAGAAAGCAAACATTAGCTAATGTTGGCAGTCTGCCTCTGTGGCAAAATTATTTTCTCAGTCCTTTCAGATTTTGTCAWTATTAGCTCTCTCTAAGTTAGCTACATGTGTACAGAATACTCCATCTTTAACAGAACTGGTTTTCTTTTTTGTTTTGTTTTTGTTTTTTATGTTTTTTTCCTGGTCTTGGTCTTGACTCGGTCTCATCCTAAATGTCTTAGTCTTGTCTCAGTCTCAACACACTGTGGTCTTGACTTGGTCTTGGGTTAGGTGGTCTTAACTACAACACTATTGTATAGAGTAACACTGTTTTTAGGTGTTCTTTATTTTTCCTCCAGGAAAAGAACTCTAAATGGTTTCTACCATCAAAACACTTTTTTAAATCAATGTGTTCAGTTTCTTTGTCTCAGTTGCTTTGATGCTGCTTCTTGAACTCACATTTAGAAAAGTCGTCGGTTCAGCTTTTAATGGTTTGTTGTGCATGACTTAGCTAGAAATGATGACAAGCAGAGAGAAAGAAGTTTACTTCCTATTCAGCATTCAGAACTGGCACCATTCCACATACTTTTGATAGTCTGTATGCAAATCTGTCCTGGGCCACCTTGAACAATCATCTGACCTGACATGACTTGCAATTAGCAGAGTCATTGTGTAAGCTGCTCTACCAGTAAAAAAAAAAAAAAAGGAAATGAACAGAATAAACATTTTGTCAAAGCTGTTTGTGAAATCAGGCTCAGCTGTCGACCATTTTAAAGTTAAAAGTAGGAATCGTTTGAAAATATGTTAATTTAGTTGTTTTTCTGAGCAAAATGTAATAAACTAAATACTGGAATCTGTTTCAATTAAGAACAGAGAAGGAGAGAGCATTTTGTTTGGGTTTTAGATAAATGGTTTACAAAGAAACTTGATAAGTGTGTGTTCTCTGTAGTTTTATGTTTGTTTTGATTCATTTTGGAGCTGATTGTATACTTTGTGGTCACTTTACCTGAGCTTTCCAACATGTTCATGTGCACTTTGTTGCAATACTCTTCACAGTTAGGTTGTGTAGAAAACAGCTGCTCGTGCGCTATTAGATGTTTTACTGTGGTGGAGTAAAAGGGCACCATGCATCAAGTTACATGGGCACTTCTCAGTGTTCGGCCCTGAATGGTTTGTAAAGAGAGATGGTAAAATGAATGCTGCAAAATACAGAAAAATCCTGAAGGACAATCTGATGCTGCCTGCAAGAACTACGGCTYGGGAGATTTATTTTCTCTGAAGACAAATCTCAGTTTTGCAGATCTGATTTTTGTTGTAWGCTTTGGGTCATTATCCACACAGACTCAGCGTGCTGGGAAGGCAGCCAGAGGTGCTTTTACTAAATACTCTGAATGGGTGAATATATATGCAATTACTTATTGTACATTAGATATTTGTATTTAATTAGTATTACTCTGTAGAAATTTTATTTAACTTTGACAGTCTAGGTTTTTTTATTTCAGAAATGCTCATTTTTTTATTGACCATAGTTGATTTATGACAACAGCACAGACTTAGTTCTTTTTCTTTGTAAAGTTTTTTTTTTCCTTTTGTGTTGTTCAAGATAAGTTGATTGTTTTCAAAGGAGTCCACAGTTCAGCATTGACTTGCTCAAAAACTGTAGAGTCATCTGAACATGTCTGTAGATGACAGGACTCTGAGTTGTACTTGAAGTCTGTAATGTACCAAGCTGGAGAGGAATGATGGTACAATCCTCTGCAGTTCTGCTGTTCACCACACAGAGGTATGCCTCATAGCCAGGTGCAAAGGCTTTCAAAGAAATCAGTTATTTTCTGAGAAGAAAGCTCAATCATTGTTTGGCATTTCTATAAAMAGGTGTTTAGATAAAAGATGTAAATTGCCTCTCATTCAATTCTCTCATTATCCCAGGGGACACCAGCAGAGGGGCTGTATAAGGGAATTATAACTCGTCTAATCACAGAGGACAGTACCAGCAGAGCTGAGAGGGAGCGGGAAGGTCTTGTGCTCTTTGAAAGCAACAGAGGACACATCGTCTCTTATGATCGTGAGTAAATCAGCCATACTAACATGTGATAAAAGTATGGTTTCCAGCTGAACTTTCAAGCATCATACTGCATGTTGACTTGTTCATTGGTTTAACTGGTGGGTCTCTCCACTTAAAAACATTTTCTTTAATTTTAGGTCAACCGTCTCAGACTTCCAAAGATGAAGGCAGAGGCTCAGGGCAGTCTGGGGAAATCCTTGGTCTGAAGCGTTCATACGATGTCATGGAGGGAACCAGAAGGTTGCAGATGAGGGACTCGCTGTCTGCTGCCAATTGTGAAGGTAAGAGATGATTCAACTTCATTAATTTTTTTTTTCAATTCAAAAAAATCATTCATTTCATAAAAAATAACTATATACAATAGAAAACAAAGAAAATACGCAAATCAAAAATCTAAATAAAATGAAATGAAAGGTAGCAGAAGAAGAATAAATGTTATGTCTGCCCCTTTTATCCCCAGAACATATACAAACGAAACATATTTTACAAAACAATACTAAATAAAAATAAAAACAACAATTCATATAGCTTCAGATTTTACTTTTCTATATACCTTCAAGAAACTAGCTTTTACCTGTCTCTTAAATATATACAAAGATCTGGCATTTTTAAGATCATGCTCCAGACCATTCCACAATCCTATACCCTGGATTAAAGTACATCTTTCTCTCAAGCAATTACAAAAATATGGCTTCACAAACATTTCCATCCCCTTACAATAATAACAACTGTCTCTCTTAACAAAATTTGCCTGAATGTTGGAAGGTAATAAGTTTCTGTGAGCCTTGTACATAAACAGTAAAATATTATCATCAACCAAATCATAGAATTTCAAAATTTTCTGTTTGTAAAATTATGTATTTGATGGATGGTTGTAATCTTTTCTCGCAATAATTCTTATGGCTCTTTTCTGTAAAACAAAAATTGGATTTGTAATTGTTTTGCAAGCTTTACCCCTGATTTCAATACAGTAAATTAAATGTGGAACAATTATTGAATTGTACAACACAAGCAGAGCCTTGTCATTAAATAACTCCTTGACTTTATACAGTGCTCCCAATAGATTTAGATATTTTGGTTCTTAAATAATGTATGTGAGGTCTCCATGTCAGCTTGTCATCAATGATGACACCCAGAAATTTTACCTCACTGACTTTACAGATCTCAATACCATCTACTTTAAATGAAAAATCAACAGTGTTTTCCCATTACTAAATATCATGTAATTTGTTTTATCCAAATTTAATGACAATTTGTTTTGTTKAAACCAATTTTGAATTTTCTCAAATTCTTTCTGTACCATCTCAAACATATTTTCTATATCTTTACCTATACAAAAAATGTATCATCAGCAAATAAAACACATTTGAAAAGTCCTGACACATATATTAAGTCATTTACATAAAAAAATAAATAACTTAAGTCCCAGTACAGAACCTTGAGGGACTCCACATGTGATATTACGAAGTTTAGATCTTACACCATTTATTTGTACTAACTGTTTCCTATCTTTCAAATAACTAGATACTCATTGTAGTGCTGACCCTCTAATACCATACTTACTTAAATTTTCAAGAAGAATACTGTGATCATTTGTGTCAAATGCTTTCTTTAAATCTACATAAACACTTACATAGTACTGTTTTTGATCGATAGCAGTTATTTGTTCCATAAATTCCATAAGAGCCATTGTTGTGGAATTAAACACTGTTTGTCACATTTTATCAATTAAATATATTCACAGCAGTCCAAAATTTCACTTCTCCTTCCTTTAACCTCTGTCAGGTCTGATTGGTCGAGCCATGCCTCATGATCGAGACAGTCCACATCACACACCTTACAAAGATGCTCATCACATCCGAGGCTCCATCTCACAAGGTAGAATGCTTCAAAATGTATCATGAACTTCCAGTTTCTTATGAATTGTTTTACATAGAACGGTAGTCACTAATTTTCCAATTTCAGGTATACCTCGTCATCTCGACCATGCGGATGGTTATATGAGGAGGGAACCAAAGATGAAGCGAGACCCCTCTCCACCTCATGAGGTCGGTTCGTTTTCTGACCCAATGAAAAGTAGAGAGACCATTGTGCCCACTGTGAAGGAGGATAGACGCTCCATCCACCTCATTCCAAGGACTGAGCCCAGACCGCCTTCCAAGGAGGGACTCATAGCATCGGTATACACTTAATTGCATGACATATAGAAAAAAATTAACTCAGCAGTGATGTTTAACTGAATATTTTCTGTAAACTTGTGAAGCAGGATGCAGCTGGTTCAGCGAAACGCCACGATGTACGTTCCATTATTGCGAGTTCACCACGTTCCCACCACAGTTCGGCCTCCCACCTGGACATGCGCTCTGAGAGAGGTCGATATGAGGAGGTGCCTAAAGGGCGGCCCAGTGCGGTGGTCAGCACAGCAAGTCCTATGGCCCGCTCCTCTCCGCTTACCTTGGGGTCAGAGCAGGGAGGCAAAGCCCATCACAGCCCAATGGGCTACGAGGACAAAAGCAGCCTGAGGGCTTCTTATCTTGGACCTTCACATCGTGGCTCCCCTCTGCCCAGGGAGACGAGCCAAAGGCAGCATGAAGGTGTGTATGTCTCACACAACCCACACAGCAACGTGTTAAAGACTAAAGGAAGATCATCTGAAAAATCCAAAAGGAGATGAAACTAAATGTGAAAATGTTTTTAAATTATATCCCTACTTAAATACATTTTGGTGTAACTGATGTTACAGCGTGACAAAGTGAACACGTTACCTCATCTTCTAAAGTACAAGAAACTTATCGGTCTTTGTTTTTGTGACTCAGGTTCTGGAAAAAATCCTCCTCAAGAGCGTAAAGCCACACCGACACCCAGGGAAACGAGTGCCACCAAATCCCCCCTCTCTGGTGTGCCAGATCAACAAACCTACGAGCGTCTGCTGCAGGGCCTCGGAACTACAGACGTGATTCGCCAGATCCACTTAGGTAGTTTTGATCCTGCAGCCCTGCCCCGCGGAATTCCCATTGACCCAGGTACATCCCCAGTCCTGTTACCGTTGTCTTCTAAAACAAGGTTTTGCTTGAAAGAGAGACGCTGACTCTGTGTTGTTTTAAAGCTGCTGAAACATGAATATAACTTCTCCAACATAAAAGCAAGCATTTTTCTTGGAAATATGAAATCATTAAAGCTCTTTTTATTAGGGATGTCCCGATCAGATATTCAGTGTCTGGGGCAGATATGGCCATTTTTTGAAAAGTGGGTAGAATCAGATTTAGTCGTGATCGGGCCGATCCAGTTTTCACGACAGTTTTCAGCATCATCATGCTTTACAACTGCCGTTAAGAAGTCAAGACGCACACAAGTATGTAACCATGTCCACAGTGTGGGAACACTTTCCAATGGAAAACTGATGCTGAAACTGCATCTTGCAAAATCTGCAAACTGGATGTTTCTCGTGGTGGGAACAGCAGGGCTCGCTTTAATACTACCAACCTTGTCACTTGGAAAGAAATAAAGAAATTAAGCTATCGGATCGGTATCAGAAAGACTAATCATTAAAAATAATCAGATTGTATCGGGAGCCAAAAAAATCTGGATCGGGGACATCCCTACTTTTTATAGGAAGTAAATATTTCAGCACAGGAAAATAAAACTAAACATTAATTTGAATTGAAGTTGCTGCGCAGTTGATATATTTTTACCATGATTTTTTTCCTAATTTTTGTACTCTTCTTACACAGCCGCCTACTTCTTACCTCGCCACCTAGCTCCCAATCCGGCATACCCTCATCATTACCCCTACCTCATCCGTGGCTTTCCTGACACGGCAGCTCTGGATAACCGCCAGACTCTGCTCAACGACTACATCACCTCTCAGCAGATGCACCAGTGGCCCGCTGCCATGGTCCAGCGCTCAGACCTGCTGAGAGGCTTAGCTCCTCGAGACCAGCCACTTTCTCTGCCCGCCTACTCTGCAGCCCCACGTGGTAATTTTATTCTTATTCAACACACTCACTTTTTTTTGTGTTTCCTATACTTGAATCAGGTGTTTTATATTTGCAGATAGTTTGAGGTTACTTCTTACAGAACAACAGCAGTGTTCACATAGCCTGAGTTTGATCTGATAATCAGGGATGAAAACAAGCTGGACCTTGTCCTTTTTCTCATCGGGCTGTAGCTGAGTGGACCATATATGTTCACTGAGAGGCAGGCTGCAGAAAAAAAGTCAAAATGGCACATTTTTGTTCACACATAATACATAAAATCAATCAAATTGTCAATATTGCAAAGTGAGAGTTGTGTTTTTTTTTTACTTTAAATTGTAGTTTAATAAAAGAACAATCAGTGGTTAATGTTATGAATTTAATAATAGTTTGTGACAATGGCCAACAGTAACATAGTGGTCTGTGTTTATCTGCAATCAAAGCTGAGCACATCTTAGTCAGCTGTTTCTCAACTTTTCTCTTTCTTCTGCACCCCAGGAATCATCGACCTCTCTCAGGTGCCACATTTACCTGTCCTGGTCCCCCCTGCTGCAGGGACAGCTGGCTCCCCAATGGATCGCATCACTTACATCCCAGGAACAAGCGCCGCRTTCCCAGGCAGGCCTTACACCACCTCACCCATCTCCCCCAGTATGCCTCATTTATTACAAGTTTCTTGAGAATATTTGTTTGCGTTTTATTTTTCGTACATTGAGATTTCCGTCTCTTTTTTATCATCAGTTGGCTCCTCACACATAAACAAAGAGCGTGAGCGAGAAAGAGAACGAGACAGAGAGCGTGACAGAGAGAGGGACCGCTCGGAAAGGGATCGGGAAAGAGATCGAGATCGGGACAGAGACAGAGAGAAGGGAGGGTCTTCAGGAAACGTGGAACATGCCCCCATCTGGCGACCAGGTGTCAGAGAGATTTTATTTTGTCTTCATATTAGGAGTGTCGTCAACATACATGTGCTTTGAGGAAATGCTTCCTCTTTTATAGAGCTATATAATTCTGTGTTTTTCAGGTACAGAACACAGCTTGACTAGCAGCAGCAGCAGTGGACGATCTGCACCCCAACCATACATCCCCCAGCACTCCCCAGTGTCTCCTCGTACCCAGGAGAACTTGCAGCAGAGGCCAAGTGTCCTGCAAAATACTGGAAGTCTGTCTGAGCACCCATCTGTCTTACGGTAATTCACCAAAACAATTCTGCCACGTTTGCTAAAGCTGATTTATTCCAATGTTTGCCACAATAAATCACAGATTGCCATCTCTGTCTTTCATGGTTGGTGATTGTGCTGCCAGGCCCATGCCTTCAGGGTCATCCCGCTACCAAGTTTATCCTGGCTACCCACCTGCCATGGATTCTAATGTAGCCAAAGAGCCGCAGAGCCGCGATGGAGGCAAAGCCAGAGGAGGTCTTCCCAAACACATGCAAGGCCAGCACGGACCCTCCAGTAAATCTGACCCCAAGCTGCCCAGCCCCAGCCCTGGAGAAATATACCAGATTTCCCCGGTTCGGTTAGAGAAGCCGGATAACCCCACTGGCCGTGATGATATCAGCTCATCTAATAGAGAAAAGACTCAAAACAAACAGAGGCCTGTTCAGGATCCAGACGATGGGTCACTTGGTAAGACCACCATGAGTGCGGACAAGTTCATAAAMGCACTTATTAAGCAGCAAATTTCTTATGAAAAGGGGATACCAGAGATGGGTTTGCTTGTTGCCAGCAGCACCACTGATGGTAAGATGCTCTGGATCCCAGGGGTCCTCCTGATCACCCAGACCTTTCCTTCTTGTCAGTCTGTGGCCTACTACAAGCTGTGGTGATTGGCATTCTCAAATCAGCCCAGTTCATTTACATTTTTCTTCCACACTTTGTTGCTTTGATTCAGTTTTATTAGAGGCTTTTCTTCATAAACTTTAAAGACCACCAAGGGTGTCTTTTGGAGATTTTTTCATCTATCAAAATTGTACCAAACTGGCTTGAATAAAATTGGTTAGATTAGATTGGATTAGACTAGACTAGACTAGATTAGACTAGACCTTTATTGTCATTGTACAGAGCACAATGAAATTACAGTTCAGAACACCCATTCAGAAGAAGACAGAACATAAACATAGGAGAACAGGTACTCTGGGTCATGCAGCCACAGACCCTGCACAGAGCAAGGATCATCTTCATAAAGACATCATGAGGAGGCACAACCCTTAACAGAAAAACTAAAAACCACACAAGGGAAGATGAGGGGAAAAAACAAAACATCATATTATATCAGCAATGTGACACACTATGGTGTTTATAAAAAAAAACCCCGCATAGAGCACATTTATTAGCCAAGAGGAGTAAGTGAGTTTAGGGGGCCGTGTATCTGAAGCCATGAGTGTTGTATGCACTTGTGTGAAAATTTGGAAAATGAGCCTGAAGAATCCAGTCCCCAAAACCAGCACAGCCATAGTTCAGAATATTGATGTTAACTGTTCATTCTGTGCAGCCCTCAGCTTGCTCCAAGAACCAGATCAGACTGGGAAGTAGGGGGCAGACCCTCGGTCAACGTAAAAATCCAGGAGGATTTAGTCCAACAGCTCAAGGTCGTGTAGGAGAGCCAGATTCTGTAATCAGTTGTTTTGGGAACAGAAGAGCCAAACAGACAATAACAATTTTCCATCTGCTTTAATRTCTGCTGATACATCTCAAGGTGGTGAATCCAATCAGACAAATAATGTGGATAAATTCCACCGAGTCGAGCTATCAGCTTCTCCAAGATCAATTCCATCTGGCCAGCAAAGTCCAGGAACCACAGCCGGCCTGCAACCCTCAGTAGAACTGCATGCAGATAGAGTCCAGCTCGCTCAAGGCAAATGTCTCAGTGCTGATAGA